CCAGCACTGATGGGAGGGATGGAGGAGACACAGCCGGGCTCTTCACAGAGGTGTGTGGTACAACAAAAGGTTGTACAGAACATGAGAACAGCCTTCAAATCCATAATAGGTTGAGATAAAGAAGACACAAGTAATTCCTTTCCTTGTTAAGGCAATTAGTAATTGATATAATTTGCAGGGAGGGTGAGAGTTACACGAGAGGCTCAGGCTGGAGGTCAGGAGAAGGCTTTTCCCCACGAGGACAGCCCCGCGGTGGGGCTGGGTCTCCATCCTTGGGAGTTTCATGTTCTGGCTGGGTGAAGCCCCGAGCAGCCTGGTCTGAGCCCACAGCTGGGCCTGCTCTGGGCAGGGGCTGGGGCTGGAGACCTCCCCAGGTCCCCACCAGTCTGAACAGGATCCTGTGAGTCTGTGAAGGGACAAATGAAAAGTTGGTTTTTTTTTTCTAAATGCACTGAATCATATTAGTCACCTGGACACTCTGTCAGCTGATGACTACATATCTGTTTAATAGCACAGAAAAAATGCCAAGTGTTCGTATTCATGTTGGGACTGCTTTTACTTCAGCTGTAGCAGCAATACTCCAAGTTAAGTTTCACTGGACTATTACTGCAGGGATTACTTGGAATGGGCTGTTTTGTTCCAAGCTGCTAATGATGTAGTCAGTGTTGTCTACATTCACTTTCTTCAAACAAATAGTTTCTGAGATGGTCTCAGAGACCTAAATCAGCAGCTCATCTACAAGGAGTTTCTCACCCCAAACCAGTTAGCCACTCACTGGTGGAAACAGGACTGTGAGGCTTTAGAAAGCACCACTATTCTTGAATCCAGGTATGGCCTCCTGAAACTACATGCGAGGAAGGTTGTAACTCTGCCTCACCTTGACAGTGCCCGACTGCATCCAAAAGGTTTTCACCCATGGTTGGTCATCCTGCATCTCATGGAGAAAGTCCCACAAATCTGAACAAGCCCCTGGGCTCAGAACCTCCAGTCAACCATGGACAAAGTAGCAGCAAAGAAAAACACTGCCACAAAGCTATCCAGTCTTGTTTCTTCGGAAAAAACAAGGTGCAGGGACACAGGCACCACTGCATTTGTTGCATCCTCTTGGCATAACTACTACAGAATTAAGACTACCACTCTTCCTTTACTGTACACTGTTTGGAGATGGAGCAGAGGGAGATGGAGCTAACACCAGGAACCACAGTTTCACTTGGAAATTACTTGAGGGGGAACTTACTTTCATGAACCAGGCTTCCAGGATGACAACATATTAATGGTGCCTGTGCAAAGCAGTCTACAGGACAACATCTCGCTCCTTGGAGGTGCCTGCAGTTGACATAGCAGCAATTTGAGGAATAGCTTCTTTTCAAACAGCTCCAAATCAGGCCTATAGTGGGACTGTTAAGCCTTGGAAGCCAGATAATACCTACTTCAAAGTAAATCCCCAAAGCATGAAGAGATGAGGAATCTCAGCACCAACTGAAAAGGGTATAATCTCTGTATTCACTCTTACTGTACTGTGTTACTGTTAATGTAGATTTACCACTGAAATACTTGAGAGTTTCCACTGAAATTCCCATAAAACTCAAAACTAAAGCCTTTACTAAATCAGGTGTCGAGGTACTTACGTTTATTTGCTCTATCTGCTGTAGGAAGCCTTAAATGCCAGAGAAAAATAGAGATTTTCAATTAAGAGAAATAAACAAATTAATAAAAATCTCAGGATCTTGTCCTAGGAAGATGGAATCACACTGTCAAGAGCATAAAAACAAGTCCTGTTCTTTTTAAAAGGTCAACCGTGTTATTTCCAGTTACACTAGAAGCATTCATTTCATACCTATCATCAAGATTCATCAGAGTGTACTAGGCTTGCCATAGGTTGCTGACTATCACAGAAGTCTTCAGTTGATTTGGGGTTTCCCCTAAGTACTCCTCCTCTTCCATCCTCTTCTCCTCCTGAAATGTTATCTTTAAAAATGTAACACCTGTGGAATCCATACGTCAATTCCAGTGACTTTCCACCCATGGAGTTAGCAGCACCACCTCAGAGAAATAAGGTTTTGTAAAAAAACTGAGATCAGAACCAGGACATGATGTTTCACCTTCTCATCCATCCAGTTCCTCAATAGAAGCATTGTGTATCTGCATACCACGTAGCACTACAGATCCATGACAATTTGTTCTTTTTTCCCCTTCCTTGTTCAGTCTGTGATTCTATGATTCTTGTTATACTATTAACAAGAGATTAATTCAGAACACAAAATATTCAATCAGTTGACATTTTGCCCCCCCCAGTGCTTGAGGCAAGGAAGGGGCAGAGACTGGTTTTGGTATCACATGAATTTTCTGTATGCCTCAGTTTTCATTCTGACAAGAACAAACAGTACCCTTCTTCTATCCTTCTCTCCCAGAAGTGACGCTTTTCTTGGGGAAAGCACATGATTTAATAATAAGCATTTTCACAGCACTGCACAAGAGCTGGCATGTTGCTGGGGAACTTGGTAGACTGTGGTAGTGTACACCTACTATTTTGCATACATGGTACCTACAGAAACTTTCCCTGCATCTCTTTCACCTTTGAAACTCCGGTCGAGTTCACTTGGTTCATGTACGAGAAACACTGAACCATTTGCCCAAACGAGCAAGTTTATGCTCCTCACTAATGCTCATTCTTCTTCCTCCTGTATTTTCCCCGTGCAAAAAATGAGCTGTTTCAAACTTTAGTGGGTCTAGAAAAAACAATTAGATCCTTCTGGTGTTCATCACAGAATGACTGAGGTTGGAAGGGACCTCTGGAAGTCACCTGGTCCAAACCCCTGCTCCAGCAGGGCCACCCAGAGCTGGCTGCCCAGCACCACGTCCAGATGGCTTTTGCGTAGCAACAAGGAGGGAGACTCCACAACCTCTTTGGGCAACCTGTGCCAGGGATCAGTCACCATCACAGTAAGAAAGTGTTTCCTGACGTTCAGCTGAAGCCTCCTGTGCTTCAGTTTGTGCCCATTGCCTCTGGTCCTGTCACTGGGCACCACCATGGAAAAACATCCAAAGAAAGATCAGATTTTACTGTAATTAGGCAAAACACACAAGCAGAAAAATGGTCTGACTGTTCCCAGCCCTGCACTAGCTAAGAATACTGATGTTAAGACTTTTCATCCGATTTCCTAAGGAAATGGATATTGAACTTTCAGAATATCTGTTCTTTTCTGTTCACTTTTGAGTCTGTCAGCCATTTTCAACCACATTTAGAGCCAGGTTCACAGCTTCAAAATTAAATGAAAACATCAAAGTTTTGAGTCCTTCAAACTTAAAAAGAAAAAAAAATGTCTGTGGCAGGATAGAGAGGTCCAAATTAATGATTCATTGGGACAAATGACAAGCAGAATATGGTTCTTACGATCATTTTTTTTCCTTGGCAGTAACTGACAGTGCTGGCCCATCACAGTACCCAGATCTCTGAATTAATCACAGACTGCCATTTCTTGCCTGGTGTTGTAAATGGAATCACTGCAGCGTGAGTGCAGGCAATTCACGCAAATCCACAGGAAACCGGGCTAGGTTAGCTTTGTGGCCCATGGGACCGACTATTTTGTTGCAGCATTTGCTTACCAGTACAGAATTAAACTGTGCTTGCCCGAATCTGACACTTCTATCACAGCGTAACAGCATCCATCTGTGACTTTTGCTCCAACTATACTAGTTTCCACAGTGTTAACAATGGTGCAAAAACTGTGCGTAAACAAAGCTATAGTTAAACACACGCAGAAACACCAGCCCTCTGTCACAAAATAATCGGCCCTAAATCAAAACATGTTTGAATTTAGAAGCCGTATGCTCACTCTAGGAGCTTCTACTGATTAGGCAGGTAAAACGGTGTTGAGCCATTTCTCAGAGAGTAAGTAATAAATGAAGAAATAACAGATTTTTGAGCTGCTTATTAGGAGGGAAGGATGCAGACTGCAAGAAGAAAACGAAAAGTTGTCTCCTTGCCTCTTTCATGCTAATTAATGAAAGGAATTTAAACCCGTGATAGTCATAAGACAACAGACCAAAGGAAAAAAAAACAGATCAAGCCAAGGAAAAGAAAGCTGTACGTGCCTTTCAGTTAACAGACACAATACAGGTCTGAAGGAGGTAAGATTTGTATTTTTTATTCTACCCAAAATTTTCTGTGTTGCTTCAAAATTGTGCTTCAGAAGAGACTTGACTAAGTGAACTCTGAAAATGTTTTGTCTCCTTGGCTAGAATTCTCTTCAGTAAAGTCACTGGGTTTTATACTCTAGCTGTGCAAGGTAGGTAGATTAGCTGGATACCACCAAGTAGGATCTGTTGTGCTGTTTAAATGACAGAAACATGATTATTTGTGGATTTCTTCTTCACTATATTTGATCAGTTAGATTTTTAACTGGTCAGACGGCTTTTAGCTGGATGATTATTCCCTTAAGACTGGAAATTAAGATTATAATAGAAATTCCTTGCACATCTAAGTATAGATTGTCAGCAGACATAAATTTAGTATAACTATCTGAAAATGCACAGACCTCTGAGAGTTTATGCTGCTTGAAAACCTGGCCCTTAAGCACTTACAGGGAATAACAGAAATAAAGAAACAACTACTTGTAAGGACAATATTATTTTTTCTTCTTCGGAATAGTTTTTCTTTTCCAGGTAAATTGTCTTTCTTTCTATATTCCTGAGAGATTTTACTTCAGAAGTCTGCCATCACTTAGTACCTGAAAAGACTACGTCAAATTCTTCTCTGTTGCACTCGGATGCAAATACCTTGATGTCAGTGGAGCTATTCAAACCTAGACTACAGTTATGGAGTTTTGCCTTAAATTGGGACAGCTGCATATGTATATGGATCTACTTGATTCTGAAGATACCAGATTGTCCTGCCTCCCTAAAATGGTCCCATCAAAATGAAAAAGATAACAAATTATTTATTGCACTGAGGCACTGTATTTCTATCCTGTAGGTTTGAGCAGGACCAAGCTCACAAAATGCCCAGAAGAAACTACCATCCAGACAGGAACTTTTTCAGAGGGAAAGGACACAGCTATCTTGCAGCAGAAGAGTAAGCAAAACTTATGTTAGCATGTAAGCTGGTGAAAAAAATGTACATTGAAAGAAATGTACAAAATAGTATCAGAAAAAGTCACTGTTGTATATAGATGGAGTGCAATTTAGCTATTCTGTAGTTGTCTCTAATGTTTGTCAACGGTTAAGAAAAATCAGAATTGCAGAACTCAAGAATCTACAATTTCATCATATGATCACAAGTCATTAACCTTTGTAATAAAATTACCAGGTTTATTGAGGCTCATTTAGAATTTTCTTTTGAGGCTGTTGCAAGGTGACCTTTGCACTAAGTGTTATCTCCAGATCCACATACCTCTCTTCAGAACCTAAAAGGGACATTGTCTCACCCTGAAGAATACTATAAGTGAAAATTAATGCTGTACAAATGTGACTCTCAGTAAATTGTTTCTGGGTGAGACTCCACTTAAGCAGAACTAATTCAAGCTAATACTTTGTTAATTTTGTCTTACCATTAAATATGTTGGGTCCTGGATTACTAGAGACGCTATTCCACTGGTGATGTTTTATTACTTTAGACAAACATCTCCAGGGTGCTGGGGATATTTGTATGTTGAATGTTCTTCTGGTACTGGTTTACTGGCTCCCAGCCTTGGTGGCTTTTCCCATACACATGCATACTGCAACATAATTATTTCTCCATGTTCATCCCTGGGCAGAGAGAATAAACAAAGAGGAAGGGTTTCTCATAGTCCTTCCAAATCAGTTCACGTCTCCAAAAGAAAAAGCTGGCTAGTCATGTCTCATCATTTGAAACTAAGCATGCTCACCTCTAACAGCCATGAACTGCAGTGGCTGCAACTGTAAGCAGTTTTTCTAGATAGGCGGGGGGAAAAATGACTCTCTCCTTCCAGTACCAGAAGGAGCATGAAAAATGAACATAAACATGCACATGAAAAGCAGAAAGTAGTCTCAAAATGTAGAAAAGGCAGCAGTTGCTTGGAGGAGTAGTCTCTCCAAGTTTTAACTGTGCTGGGGACAGTAAGAAAACCAGTGGAGCCATCTCGTAACTTTGCAGATCAGCTGCAACATGGCTGCACCAGTTCTTGGGTTAAACAGATCTCCAGCCACCACAAAGTCCTGAAGTGCAGGAGCAACTTGCAAGATTCAGGTATTTGTGAAAAAGAAAATTTCTTTCACTCCAAGGGGCTTCATGCTTCAAACAGCACACAGGCATTTCAGACAAAAAGCCTGTTCTGCCACACAAATCTGCTTACATCTTCTTTCAGGCTTCACAGGTCACAAGGAAACACTTTTTTTGTGAGATTCTGAGTCAGTGAAAATGATAGCAAATAGGTATAAGAGATCTCTGGTAAGTCACATACCTCACTCCTCAGTCCCAGGAAAAGCCTGCTGGTAATTACTACAGGGCAACTGGATATGAGATATATAAAATATGTTAGAACGGGTTTATCCCGACTCGTGGTCATTTTCTTTCCTGTCCTCTTTTCCCTTTAAGCATTTTGCAGACTCTTCTATTCCTTAACAGGCAAAGAACAAAAAAAAAGGGAAGTGAATTCTGTATGTCTCAACGGGGAGGATATTAGCACAGGAGGAAGGGTTTTTCTGACTAGGAAACTTGCAATTCCTTTGTCAGCTTGCTTTCTGACAGTGGAACTGTGCTACTTCTCCCAAGCCCGGGGTCAGCAGTGGGAAGGATGCCTTATAGCACAGTCTGCAAAGCCTGCATTCCCTAAAATGACCCACTGACACCAACACTGTGCCTAGTGTGTCACGGAACAACCACTTAAGGATTACAGAGCTCTTGATGAATAATTCAAAGTTTCTTACTCGGGTTTTGAGGTTGTGTAGTGTTTTGTGTATCCAAAAAATCCTGTCACCAGCAGTTGTTGCAATATGATGCAATTAGGATACATTTCTCAATACTTGCTGCTTAGAAAAGTTTAACAAATAAACATGAGCTGTGTCTCTGCAGGGGTGGCGTTTATTTCACATGCTCTTCAAGTAGCACAATGCTGTTTGCTGGATTTACATGCAGGGATTTTTTTAGAAGCAGTAGTCACTGGTACATTATTATCTTCGAAGATAATTCCTCATTTTTAAAACGCTTAAGAACTTGGCAGATAATTTAGCTAACTGCTTAATCTACAGAGACTGGCTGAAGTTACTGATACTTTGTCTATTTTCTGAGGCAGATTCTGCTCCATGCCTTCCTTTGATAAAAGGCTACCGATACCAACTTTTGCTCTAACCATTCTTACTCCAGATGAATGCATCTAGTTCTGGTGTTAATTATTTTGTTTTGCTTTCCCAACAGAGCTCTGGGCATTGGACTCTTCATTTTGGTGCTGGCCATTTTACTTATCTTTGGCTGCTGGTATTACAGAAGACGTAGTGGCTATAAAAGTCTGCGGGTAAGCATGGCACCTCACTGTCCAGCATGCCATTATTCTGACAACATATCTTTATTTGTACTACATTAATGCAGAGAACCTCAAATCTGTAATAGGACATCATTACATCAGGGAATATATACGCCGACATATCCACAGGTAAAATCACACAACTGAAGCATGCCTTGCCCTGGAGAACTTGCAGGTCAGGCAAAGGGGTAAAAGGAAGCAGAAGCGCAGGGCGATGAAGGCAGTTGCCGAACTTCGCACAACACATCAGTGCAAAAACTGATCTCTAGGAAGTGTTATATTTAATATTTACACAAACCCAAAATGTGTTCTGTGTATTTTCATTTAAATAAAAATAACATATTCACTACTCATAAGACTTACTCCTAAATAAGGACAGATATAATTAGAGTAAATCTGGGAAGCACAAAAAGAAAAAAGCCTGTTACAAGTAACTAAGTAAATAATATGTTCATGTACAGGTGATGCATGACTTATTTGTACAAAAGTTGACTTGCAGTTTCACGATTTATAAAAAAGCAGGGCAGGTTTGAGGTTTTCTTTCTAAACACTACTTCCAAAAAATTCTACTTTGTGTCTTCTTAAAAAATATTTTTAAAAAAGGTACAATCCTTCTCACAACATCTGTTGTTAGAAGTCTCAAAGCTTTATCTTCAAAGTTCTGCTCTCCTATGAAAGGGGGGCCACTTTTAATCCTTTGAAGTGAAAGCTTTATCCAATGCATTTTACAGTAAATATCTTTCAGTTATCCTAATATTTTGAAAAAGATGTGACCATTTGGAATAAAAACCCATACCTCTCATCAAAGTCAGCAAATCCTTTTCCTTGCTGTTTACTGTTACCTTTCCAGTGATCTATCTAACACGTATATCAACTGGCAGAATACATAAAACCTGAACTTTCATAGTGAAGTGTTGCAAAAATGAAGGTAATACTCAAAAACGCTTCAAAAAGCAAACCAGAATTCTTTCATGCCTGGTTTGTGCGTCATGGTAAAAAGCACAATTTCTTTTTTAATTCCTTTTCATTGCAGATTGCTGCTTTCTGGTTTTGAAACTCAAATTTTTGTTGGGCTTTTTGGCTGGGGGAGAAGTGGTACAGAATGTATACAAAAGAAATGGTGGAAAAATGGAGAAGGAAAAAGTTAGAGACTAGAGAAAGAAATGAGTGGGATATAAATGAGGAAGCATTCAGGTATGTGAGAAGGTGTCAGTTCCTGCAGCCGTTCTGGATCTAAAAAATGTGATCGTCATTTTTCTGTCAATGTAATTGGATAATACTGGAGAGAAAGAGTATGTCTCAGCCGAGACAGCAAAAAGTGGCAGGCAGATCACCTGTCTGACTTGCTGGCACTGTGTCTGGCCCCAACCCCAGATTCTAATACATACTGTAAATGTGCTGTCAAATATTAAATTTAATAATAATAATGACATAATTTGCTCCAGCTTCACATTCTCTTCTTCCTTTCATCTTCTCTGCATTTCTTTATGATCTGTCACAGAGTAAAAGCTCCAGTGTGGGCACAATACGAACCATGGTAGGTGAGGGAACAATACCAGACTGCAAAATAGCTCTGCAGGAGTACAGAAACTTTAATTCTGTGGTAAGTTGCAACTCAAGGTTTCATTTACTTACAACATAATAAGACATGGTAAGACAATTTTAGTTCACAGTCACTCGTTAATGATTACTTTCTTGGGGTGTGCTCTCTAGATTTCATCTTCAATGCCTCTACATTAACTAGCAGCATTTTTAAAAATCTATTATTAAGAATTCTTTTTCTAAAAAATGCTCTCCTTTCACCCACCTTTATTGTTAAGTTGTATGATCATTATGCAACCTATTAGAATGATGTAACACCTGAATGCTGAAATATACTGAATGAACAAACGTCTCCCTAATAGATGTTCTGTCATTATGACAAACAAGAAATGGAGTGTGTCTGTTATACTATACCCTGACAAGGATTGTCAGGGATCATTATAAAACTTCAAGGTTTTAGGTCCTCTGATCATTATGGAAAGATTAACATTCAAAACCATAATTTTAAAAAAGTTAAAATAACTTAATTGATAAATATATGTGTCAAGTTGTAGTGTGTTTAAACACTTTTAGAATAGGAAAAAGGCTAATTTACAACCAGTTTTAAATAAGCTGCCCAAATTGTTAACATTGGAAATAAGACAACGTACCTGCATCAAGACTCTTAAAGAAAAGTTTCAGTATTAGTTTGAATTCTCAATATAAAAAAAAATTTCCTTTTCTTAAAAATTCCTGTCTCTGTAGTTCTGAAAATTCTCTCTTTGGATGAGTTATACGACCAAAATGAATTTAATCTGATGCAAAACCAAAAAACTTTTAGCAAAAACTAACCTTAAAAAAAAAAGACATAATGAAGGAGCTCAGCTATTTTAAGCTGTAGTACTATATCTGATATGAAGGTAAATAGCTCACTGCATCTTTAATGTAATTTTCTTGTACCTCAATTGTTTTTTCAATTTTTCACACCCATTCTGCTTATCATAGGTACCTGATGCTCCACCAGCTTACGACAAAATTACTGCAGATCAGTCACCACCACCTTATTCACCATGATAACACTGAATCTGAAACACTAAACATACTGATTCAATTTCTTCATGCTCCTTCTTAACTTCCTGTACATGCTTAACTTTCTTAAAGGTAAAATAATTTAAAAAAAAATCACATGCTTTCATTAGCAGTTGCTGAAAATTATTCCTGCTTAGTTTACAGAACTGGTTCTTGAAATGCTTCAATAAATCTGAAAGTGCTTTTGTTTTAAGTTTTTCATTTCATGTGATCAGATTAATACACTATACTCATTGGGCATCTTGCATCCGTCATAGATCTACCAAGAGTAAGTATATACCACTGAGTATCAACCAGAGCAGAAAGTGTTGGCACCTTTGTTTTAATCTTCCCCACTTACTCTCCCTTTCTTGAAAAAAGAAATAAATAAAGTATTCCCTAGAATGTAACGTACAAGAATCTGTCATAAAATGGGACAAAACCATTTGACTACATGTCCTGTTACGAAGAGTAACCATTTTCCTCACCAGCAGTTCTACCAGCAGTTCTAAAATTAACTTGCAAAAAGTGACTATGTTTTACAACAGACTCTACTTCACATCACTTGTTTATGTACCAGAAATGAAATAATTACTCATAAAATACGATCCAGGCAACCCAGGAATTTCTGCTTAAAGTCCATATTATTTCATAGTGGTCAATGGAAGTAATGACAATCACTTCTAGTCTCCTTCTGGCAGTCTTGTAAGAAAGGAAAAGACCTCGGTAGATACAGACCTTTACGTGTCATCTGTTTCTAACATGATGAAACAATAGGAGAAAATGTGTGAAGCCCACATTCCTTCAAGAAGACAGAAGACAGCAGACTCCAAGATGTTAATTCTTCCAGGTTGCCAGAACACTATCAGTAACAGAAAACAAAGAATTGATACACATAAAATAGGCTACGTACATTTGACAGTTATTGTTTACTTGCCAGATTATTACTTAAGATTATATGCACATCAACAGATTTCTACACAAGGCCTGATATCTCACAGCAGGAGGCAGCTAAAACAGTACATTTGTTAAACTGAAAAGTAGCTACAGAAGAAAATTATTTTGATAAAACAATTATTAACTGCTATTAGTAAAGAATCTAGTTCTTTGTAACTAAAAAAGCAAACACTAACACCTTAAAAGAAAAAAAAAGTTTTAAATACAAGGTAGATTTACTTGGCTAACATAAACTCCATATGTGCTAATAAATAATGACACAGATTTTAGAAATGTTTCTTTTGCAACAAAAATGTTTATATAGATTAGTAAAATTAGATACTTTTTGGAAGGTAATAAGTATCTGTAACTGGCTGTGAAAGGTTATAATTAATATTTACATAAATTCAGTTTTTATTTGTATTTAGAAATTTAGAGAGAAACTTTAACCTAAAAGGCTGTCTTACACCTGTTGTTTCCAATATACACCTTCAGGGAAAAAATTCTGTGGACTTGTTTAGTGACAAGAAGAATAATACAGAGGAAAAGATACAAAACACCAGTTTATAGCTAGTAAGTGCCAGAGATGTAGAACACAATGGCTGACTAAATTTTTTGCAGAACTGGTAAGCTGAAGCTTGGGGCTAATAATCTTTAGCAACTCCGTACTCTGGGGCAACATCCTTTCAAAAGACTGTGTGGTGCTACAATTGAATGGAATTGACATACACACTCATGGCTGAAAAAAAAAAAGTTATTTCTATAAAGATTAATTACTATAAAGATGTGAAGTGCTTAGAATTAAAAAAGTTTTACTTGATCACACAAGTTTTTCAGTAGTATCAGCACTAAATATGGTACTAGCCATTTCAAAAGCTTGTGAGGTAGTTAACAATGACCAAGTGGAAACATTTTTTTTCCAGAACTACATAAGACCAAGTAGTTGGAACTGCTCAGCAGCCAGAGCTGGAACTATTGAACTTTGACACTAATTTCTAGATACTTAAAGGAGAAGCCCTCTTGAAAACCTATCCTTAGTTTTCAGGAAGTCCTTCAATTTTTCCTCCTTGTGAAAGCAGTATTCTTTCTTTATATTCACAGTCAGACAGTGGTCTCAGATTTTAATTAGTGCATGAAAAGAGCAAGAAATGGAGGTTCATAGAGCACTGTGTTATGTAGGTGGAAGCTTCATCACTTGTGCTAAACGCCTTCACAAATTCAATTTTTCAAGTCTGGCTCTATACCCAACAAGAGTCCACTGGAGAGCCTGGCTGCTGATCCATTAGAAAATATCAATTCCGGGCAGGCCAGAACTTCAAAGCAAGAGACCCGTAATTGCCAAAGTTGCATGCTGCAAGAACTGGCTATGTTACGTACTTTCTGTATTACACTCCTTCACACTGCACTTGACTAAAGACAAGCTAAAACTCTCTAGGATGTCTATCCCATTAAAAAGCAAGAGAAATTTATAGAAACTTTTCAACTACCACACATGTGGAATGTGGTATAGAGTTTTCAGATTTCCAAGAAAGGCTTTCACATTAGACAGTCATATGATCCCAGAGTAATAAATAGTCACCAAAATTTAGATTTATAATTTCTCTGGTATGGTCATGTATGTACAGGGAGGGTGTAAAAGTCAAAGATCTCCTGCTCCTCTTTTTTAACTCTCTGTGCCATCAGGCTGCAACCAGATGCCTTGTATTACAACTATAATTGTCAATAAACATGATCTTTGCACTTCATCTTTTCCCACCAAATGAGCAAACGAAGAAACCCATGGACAATCTGAGTTCTCCCCCAGCTGCTGATGAACAGAGGTGGCTGGTCACAGCTGGATTATGATGCTCAGCTTGCTATGGGTCTGCATGAAACTGCTTCCATCAGAGAAGCAGATACACAATTATTAAAGCTTATCTATCTGTACAAGAGGACCTGAGCAATATCTCTATAGCTATGCATGCAACCCTTACGTGGATACAATGGACAACTTGAAAACCAGGCCTTTCATTAATATAGTGTGTTTTGGTCAGATTGGTAAATTATAATGGCAGTAGCAGTTGCATTGCCTGTGTTTGGATTCCTGGTGTGATCCTGCTGGATACCGTACTTCCTAATGAGGTTACAAGCCTCAATGGAGCCTTAAAAGATTCCAGAATATTGGTCAGCCATCGCAGCCATTGCAAAGGTAAAATGCAGCAGGTCCTGATGAGTGCAATCTTCCTGTCATACTGAACGATGCAGCAAGCACTCACTAGGCCAAGAGCCACAGGGTACGCACCACATATGTCAGAGAGCTATGATAAAAGAAAGTACCAAAGACTTTCCGCAGGAAGCACGTGGTTTCTTAGAGCCTCACCAGTGCAGTGTAACAGGACTGGCATACGCAGCTGGTTGCCGGGTCAATCCAGCGACACTCACCTCAGCAGTCTGTTGACTTAATACCTGCTGCAGCTGGGGATGCAGACAGATTATCTTGGTCTCAAGAACTGTATTAGTATTAACCATATGGCTTGTAATCTTTTAGTTAAATAAAACATTGCTAGCATATTTTGATTCATGTTTACATCTAATATTGGTAAAATATCCGTAACTTTGTTGGTGTATGTCCATGTATTTATTATGTGGCATAAGATTACATTTTCTTGCTTTAAAAGCAAAGTTTTTTCACTTCTCATGTAAAGGAAAAGGTTAATGAGTTCCTCTGTGCTTTGGAGAAGTGGCATTTATTCATTTGTATTTTTCTGTTGACTGCATATTAAACTGTGCAAAAAACTTGAAAGACTGTTGTGTGTTCACATCATTTCATTAAATGTATTTTGTTGCCCAATAGATCTGAAAAGTGCTTGAAGGTTTACAATGTTCTCTTTTGGCCACACATCTGCACTGAACTTTACATATTGTAATAAAGGTAGACTAGCAGCAGTATAAAGTTAAAAAAAGCTATCTACAGCTAGTATCTACACATCCAACACATGCTGACAGCGAAAAAACAGCCTGTGTGCACTTTTTGGAATTGACGCTCTGTATTCTGCATCCTTACGGAATTCTCTGATTTTCACTTTACTTCCTTTTCCCAGAAAATACTTGGCTTAGAGGCAGCTTGGTTTCTAATAAACAGAAAGAACCATTACTTACCTTGCTGCAAAAATCTGGCTGTGCAAGACATTCTGTCCAAAAAGGTTCTGCTCTTGGGCCAGTGCAAAAGACCACATTTTTGGGGGTAGCAGTGTTCCTAAATGCCTTGTGCTCACTGGAATATGAAGAGAACCAGAGACTCGTGGGCCCTATTTTACCAGGAAAATATGGCAGAATGCAGAATCCGCTGTGACAACACTATTGACACCTGAGCTACAAGCCACAAGATACTGCCTTCTCTAGTTCTGCCAGAAAACTCTTGCCATGTGATAGTGGTAAATTCCACTCTTGCTTAACTCACATGGGGCCAAAACCTGAACAAGGCTTGAGCAGCAGACATGCCTTCGCATTTCCAAACCATTTTAGTAAAGCCTCAATTACATGTTTGGACCACATTCTTTATTTGCTCCTTCCCTGAGAGGCACACCACATGAGCCGAGTACAAATCAGTACAAGACAAAGAGTGATGGCCTAATATAAATACTTTAGTCTTTCAAAACTAATTTTGTGGGGTCTTTCTAACTCTGCTAGCTTCCATTTCTAGCTGGGAGAAGCAGACTGCTCTGCTGCACATTCACTATGTTTTCTGCTTACACAGAAAAGCAGCCTTCCTTCTTCCCACTTCTTTTTTGAATTTACCTTATCCTCGGCTGCATTCTTGTAGCTATTAGGGAAAACAACTGAACCATTTTTATTGAAGAGTGTTTTCTAAACTTTTGGTTTCTATCAGTTTGTCCTTTCACACTTATCCTGGCCGAAGTAATGGATGTCTGTTTCTGCACACCATCACTTACACCCCAAGTCGCTCTACTGACACTCAGGAGCAAAACAGCTGCCCCTTTTAGACACTGTTCAGTGCTAGATTTACTGTCTGCAGTTGTTTGCAGGAGGAACTTTAGGCTTGTCACCTGGTAACCACATTCAGAAAAATC